GGCTCCTGCTTTGCCCCTGGACCACTTCTGCAAGCAATTCTTCCTGAGAGGTTCGAGTTCGAGGGGCAACTGGAAGTGTCTGTTTCTGGGGAACTTTTATATAAAAGGAAAAGGGATGACAATATAAATTCAGTAACACATCAAGATGCAAAAGCCAATAGATACCATGTCAAACAAACACTTCCTGGAGTTTAGAACATTTAAGGATTTCAAAACACTTCACAGATACTTGCTTACAAAATCTCTGAAAAAATATTTGATTATCCATCCAAATACACATATATGCAAAAAGTTTATACAGTTTAAATCACATGCCTTGCATATATTATACCACATACATAATATTTTTAACCAAATGCACTGCAGGCTCTGCTTTATGATCTTCTATCAATGGCAAATGGTAATTTAGATAATCTAGGTAAAGAAAGTACTGCCATTCAAATTCTTTAAAAAGTTGGGCTTTCCTAATCTTACAAAAGGAGAACATTCCAAAGTCATAGTATATTTATGTTCACTGTGAATCATCTTGTTAATAGAACAGAAAAAGGAATGCAAGATAGGTAAATCCTTCCAGTTAGCGTTAAACTTGGCATGATAATCCTTATTCTATGCCAAAAATAAAGTTATGTTCAAAATAAAGGTGAAAAAAGTGAACACATGACTACTGGAATAAAAAATTGGTAGGTAACAGAGTAGTTCATTTTAGGAAGGGTTCACAAAAAAAAAATACAACAATCCCAGAGGCATGTGGTTCGAATCCACCAGATGCTCTGCTGGAGAAGAGGGGACAATCTCCTCCTGTACACACAAAAAATTAATAAAATTTAAAAAAATTATTAAAAAAAGATACAACAGATAAGAAAAGTAATGAAGAATATTCACCAGAACTACAGTAAAAATAACATTTCAAATGTTTAAAGAAGACAGTCATCATAACCTTGCTAACACAGATACTGACACACTGGCCACAGTAGGTATAAAGTACAGAATATACTGACAATAAAATATGACAATCATCATTTGATCTGCACCTCCAAGTTCTTTTCAGTAAGGTAAGCTTGTTACTGACTGGTAATCTTTGTTTCAAATACAGGAACTGCTTTATTTCCTACCCGTTCTGTCAGTCTCTTTCACTCTGGCATGTTCTGGTGATGCTGGAAGTTGTGCCACCAGGATTTTAAATACCAGCAGAGTCACAAGCGTTAGTAGACCTTCTAAATAAAGACAGACCTGCTTCTATATAAATTTACTCAGTGAAAATCTTAAGATTTTCAGTAGAAAACAGTTGCTGATCAAGTGCCAAACATAAAACCCTTGGGTTGAAAGGCACTTAAAACGTGATTGGATGAAAAATGTAATCATCTCCACTAAACTATACATGCAGAAACAGTTGAACTGGTGTATATTTTGCTGTGTACTCTCAACAACAGAACTTAAGTAAAAATCAATACAAGTGAGGAAGAGCTCTCTGCAAAGTTGAGCAGACCTTAGTGACAGAGAAAAGCTTTGAGGACCTTCATTTGCTGATGTGACACAATTTAAAATTAGAAGCAGCTTCAAAAATTTCTTTATAATTAGGATGTGAAATGTATAAAGCATGAGTATATGAAAATTGGAAGTCATCACAAATGAAATGGAATGCGTAAGAAACCAAAGTGAGTTGAAATGGATCGGTACTGACCATTCTGAACTGAACAGTCACATGATCTACTACACCAGGAATGCTGAGTGGAAGAGCAACAATGTGGCATGACCATTAAAAGAGCATTGCAAGTACCTTAAGTACAGCACTGTAACAGAACATCATCTGTACATCTACAAAGAGGACAAATTTATGTGACTATTATTCAAACTCCATCTCAATCGCTAATGTCAAGTAGGAAACTGAGACTTTTACCAACTTTATAGTCTGAAACTGATCAAGCATGAACTCAAATTGCATTAATAATTACTACTGACTAAAACTATAGACATTTGGAAACCAAGAGGGCCTAGCAGCTGGGAAACAGGCTATATACAACATAGGAAACTGTATGACAGTTTAAAGACCAATGGCATATTAATTGCAAGTATCTTTTTTCAACAATATAAAAGCAACTAAACACATTCATTACATATTTCACTTCCAAAACAGCGCTCCAAAAGCATGTAGTATCAATATCAAACAATATCAATATGCAAGTAAAATCTTACTGAAGATTATTTAAAAAATGGCTGGACAGTAAGTACATTCACATGGAACTTATGACTTCAAAGGGTGCTCAGAAAGACAAAGGATTAAACGAAATGAAGACCTAGTTAAGAGGATTAAGAGGGAAGAACAGCACTGACATTTCTTAAAAGCTAAAAGAAGTGAAGAACAAATTCAAGCCTCAAGGTGCAATACTGAACAATGCAGGAAATATCAAAACAAGATGGGAGGAATATACAGAATCACTAAGCCAAAAAGAATTGGTTGACATTCAGCTATTTCAGGAGGTAGCATATAATCAAGTCGTTGTTGTTATTGTTACGTGCTGTCGAGTCACCTGTGATTAACAGCGACCCTATGTACACAGCTCTGAAGCCTGGCCTGGCCTGAGCCAGGCAAGATCCAATAGTACTGAAGGAAAAAGTCTGAGTTACACCAAAGGCACTGGTACAAAAGAAGGTTCCACAAACTCAAGTTTCAAATGAGATGTTCTAGCAAATTAACCCCGTGTTGAAGATATTCACTTACATGTGCTAAGAAATCTAGAGGACCTAACTGAAAAACATTCATGCCCGAAGTTTCAGTAATGAAACTTTTCTATAGGCAAAATGACACAGAACGCACCAAAAGAAGTTGGGAGGAATACACAAAGTAACTGTATCAAAAAAAATTGGTAGAGGTCTATTTCAGGAGGTAGTACATGGGATCAAGAACCAACAGAAAAAAAACTAAAAACTCATTGCTACACTGAAGAAAGAAGTCCAAGACACTGGTGAAGGCACTGGTGAATTGATGGACTACCAAATGAATTATTTCCATAAACAGATACAGCTGTGGAGGTACTCATTTATCTATGCGGAGAAACTGGAAGAGAGGCACTAGGCCAAATGACTAGAAGAGATCCCATCTGTGCCCATTCCAAAGAAAGGTGAACCAACAGAAAGCAAACATTCCAAAGAAAGGTGAACCAATAGAAAGCCAAAATTACCAAACAGTATCACTAATAACATACACAAAGAGAAGTTAAAAACACAGTAATACATTCATAGGGAAATGTCAGATCCAGAAAAGAACACAGAATGAGAGCTATCATTGCTGACATCACATGAATCTTTGATGAAAGCCAATAGTCTTCACAATTACTTGCTATGCATCAAAAAGCTGGACAATGACCAAAGATGACAGAAGAATTGATGCCTTTGAGTTGTGATGTGGGAAAGAGTATACCATGGACTGCCAAGAGAATAAACAGGTTTGTCCTGGAGGAAGTACAACCAGGCTGTTCCCTGGAGGGAAGGATTTTGAGACTCCATCTCACATACTGTGGCTGTGTCTGTGGAGAATACTTGGAAGGGTTGAAGAACAGAGCAGGAGAGGAAACTCCTGGATGGATGAAATGACAAAGTAACTGGGGTATTGAGGGTAAGTGGCTCAGGATAGAGCAGGGTTCAGAGCCATTGTGCATAGGGCAGCTGTGCATCACAGCTGACTCGATGGCACATAAAACCAATACATGCTTTTGAAAGCTAGACAAGAAGAAAGCTAAACAAAAGAAGTGATGTCTCTGAATTATGGTGACGATTAGTGAATATACCATAAACTGCAAGACAACAAGCAAATCTGTTCTTGGAAACGGTACAGCAGAATGCTCCTCAGATGCCATAGTGACAAGCCTTCTCATACACTTTGGACAAATGGTCAGGAGAACTATTTCCTGCAGAAGGAAATCAGGCTTGTTATTTAAGTAGAGGGTTAGTGAAAAAGGAATTCAGTAAGACAGACTCTCAAAGCAGCTTCAATGAAGGGCTCAAACATGACAGCTCTGAGGATGGCACATGACAGAATAGAGTCGTGTTGTACTGCATCACTCTGAGTTGGAACCAATCCAGTAACATTTAACAACAACACTCTTTATGTTCTGTCACAAAATGGTTAGTTAATTCTACAAGAAAGAGAGTCAATTCTCCAGAATCATTAAGTGTCAATGAAAACAAGAAACTACTTGCTCATTTAACACTAATCCTACCTGGGCATTTAATATTATCTACTCTTACTCTCACCCATTCTTACAGGAGCTAAGATGGCCTAGTGATACAGTTATATTATCAACCCAAAAGCATATAGTTTGAATCCATCAGCAGTTCTGTAATAGAGGGATGGGCAATCTCCTCCTGTGCAACTTACAGCCTCTAAAAACCAACAGGGAGGGTTATCTAAGCTAAACCCACTAAAGTCCTAGCTCATCAGAATTTCCTGAAAAACTTTTTTCATTTTTTTCTTTCTTTTCTCTGTAAAATTTTCTTTTTTAGATTTTAATGAAAGTTTATAAAGAAACTATATTTCCATTAATTCACTGCTGCAAATTTTCCTCCCTGTCCCCTTCCCCACCCCCCGTTCAATTTTTTCTTTGGGAAAAAAGTTCTTTCATTATTATACAGTACACCCCTTTGAAAAACAATTTCATTCACATTGGAAAGAAGAAAGAAGCACTAGATGGTGATTAAGAACCAAATTCTAGTGCCAGCTGACAAGTTTCTTAATCTAATCAAATCAGCTTTCAAAAGGACGTTTTCCCCATTCTGAAGAGGTCCTGGATTGCAGATTTGAGGCGGCACCTTGCAATGGGAGCAGTACTAAATCAAGAACTGCCTGCTTGCCGGTGCAGGGTGCAGGGTGTCCTCTGGAGGCACATAAAGTTGTTACATCTGCTGGTCACCTGATGGTGCTTCTGGGGTTTGGGCCCCTGGTCACTAAATAATCCTAATGGGTATCTTGGGAGAAAAAAAAAATAAAAAGTGCTTTTCCCTGAAGCGCATCTTAACCTTGACACCTTGCAGTTGTCATTGCCCCCAACTTAAGAGAACAATCATGTTCTGTTTACTCAAGAGTTACAGAATCTCTCTTACGTTTATCTAATCTAAACAGAATATATGTAAATTACCTGTGGAATAGTTTGTTGTTTTTGTTACAGATTCCTGAGCTTCAGATATAGCCTTCAAAATTAAATTCTTATTAGCTTGTTTAGAAGGTGGAAGTGAAGGTCTAAAAGAGTTAAGAAAAGTAGCTTTATTAAATATTGAGTAATCTCATGGTAGCCAAACATTTTGTTTTTCCAACAGATTTACATCTTTCTCTTGGGTTTTGAATAGACTACCTATTGTATTTTAAAAACTACCTACTTTTTATGAAAGTTTCAACTAAAGTGGAATCTTTAACTTTATACTATGTTAAACAAATCTAGATCAGTAGGTGGGTTTCCCCATTCCATCATACATATTTTTATTTCTCTATGCAATCATCTCCAATTTGAATCAATTTTTCTTTTTCAAATAACAGTGAAATTTTGTCATTTATTAAATCACGATTTTCATGACGATTTTCTCCAAGAAACATAGGCAATTCCATTTGAAAGAGAAACGCTAACTTACAAACAGTGGAGCATTTATTTACAGACATGTCCAGATACCTCCTTTCAGGCTTTGCTGGCACTGACACACTGCTGGAGACACTGCCTGTTCGGGAGCCATAGTCCTCATCTTCCTCCTCCTCTTCTCCATCACGGTTGAATTTTTTAACTTTAATAACTGAACTTACCACAGGCAACTTTCTCTTTCGAAAATTTTCTTCCTGCAACCAGATAAATTTTGACATATTTATCTAGTCTCAGAAAACAAAGTTTTGACTTGGATGAATACATGGGCTCTTTTCTTTTTTTTTTTTTTAATAAAAACACAAATTTTACCCTTAATAGATTATCTCTAGCTCAAACAAAAATGAGAGTTGGAGCTCCAGCTACGGTGGTAAGGCAGTGTACTGCCAATCCACAGGTACACATTCTGAGAAAGATGGGAAATCTCCTCCCATGGGATTTACTGCCTCGGAAAACCCGCTGCAGGGTCAAGCATGAGGCAGCTCCGACTTGAAAAGCACATAAAAACAACTCCTCATTTTACAGACAGCTCAACACAGCACAGCTGAGGAACTACTAAAATGAAGTGTTAGTTGCTCTCTGTTGTATTGCTGTTGTTGTTAGCTGCCATCAAGTCCACCACAACTCAGAAAGCCCTTATGAACCATGGATCTGAGCCCTGCCCTACCCTGTGCCATCCTCATCTTCACTGATGTATTTGAGCCCACTGGTAAAGGCACTGTGTCAGTCCTCTCAGACTTGCTGAAGGTCCTCCCCTCTTCTGCTGGTCCTCCTCTACCTTCCAAGAACGAGGTCTTTTTTACAGAACTGGCCCCTCCTAACAACAGGCCTGGAGGATGTGGGACAGTTTCACCGTCCCTGCCTGGAAGGTACAATCTCACTGGCAACTACCATAAAGAACTCAAAGCTGACCTAACCCCATCCTGTCAAAAGTTTTATGTTAATGTGAGACCTAACTATGATGATGAGATAAGATCACATTACAGCATCTCTATGCACACCCATGTTTATTGCTGCTTTGTTCACAATAGCAAGGAGTTGGAAACAATCTAAGTGCCCATCAACAAGCAATGGATAGAAAAGTTGAGGTATATTCACACAATGGAATACTACTACGCTTCACTGAAAAACAAGGAACTTAATGCATTATTATTCAAAATGGGTGACTCTGGAGGACATTATGCTGAGTAAAGTATCTCAGTCACAAAAGGACAAATATTGTATGGTGCCACTGTTGTAAAACAGGACTGATCTTGGGGTTGAGGAGAGACTGAGAAAGATGGGTTCAATAACGTATATTGCATTGAAACAGACGACGGAGAAAACTGTTTAAAAGGATATGTGATGAGGTATTTTTGTCATGACAGGAGTCTAGAAGGAAGGCTATATGGTGGAGTGGACCTGGGGGAGGATTTTAAACAATGAAAGAATTTTTCTTTCACTTTTCCAAGAGGGTAGTGTACTACGGGGGAGGGTTGGGAGGTGAGAAAAGTACAATGAATGAATGGAAATCCAAAGTCTCTGTACATTTTTACTGAAATTAGTAATAAACTAAAAAAAAAAAAATTAAAAAAGAAAATCACATTACAGCATCTCTGAAAGTATAAACAATGTAATTTCAAGAGACTTCACCCCCAGGTGATTACTTGCAATTTGGGGTTAAATCCAGTATCACAAGATATAAAACCAGCTGTGGAGAGGGAGATCTGGCTGAACAAACATATTGTTAAGCTTAACATCAACACGGAATACATATTCAGCTAGTTCATATATATTTTAATATCAAAATTTGCCAATTTTCAGCCTAACAAGCATATACCAACCTCAATGCTCATTTTTTCTGAGCTGCTTCTAAAGAAGGGACTGTAAGTCTTCTCTAAGCTGTTAAGCACCTCAGGTTCACACAAACGTCCAGTG